AATTTAAAAGTTATAGCATGAAAACTATAACAAGCACAAAATGGTTACAAGGTTTGCCCAAGGACCGAGACTATGCTGAAAGAGTTAAGTCTCAACAGATGCACTGTTTAGTCCAGGTCATCTGAAAGTGCCCTTTCCACAGATTACATCCAAAACTGCAATTAAAATTCTAGATCTTAGATATGAAGGTAACCAATATGTTTCAAAAAGAAACAAATATAGATCACTTACCAATTTAAGTATTTCTATTAACATGGTTTTATATGTGTGTTTTATAACACTATCCAATAATGATTAAAATTATTCAAGCTTCATAAGGAATGAGTATCTCAAAATTTTAAATAATAAAAAAATGAAATGATAAACTGTACTTGTTTCTCCTTTATTGCCATAAGTCACTATACGAGCTATTAATTAAAGTCCAACTAAAATATTTAACAAGTTCAGCATTACTCAATCTTATAAGCACTGTCATATTATATCAAATAATAGTCTAAAAAATTATGACAATTTTGTATACCAGAAAAATAAACATACTATCATGAATTGGGCACGAGCAGAGAAGACGTTCATTGGCAAACTTCTTTTGTTTGTTGAAGAAGGCCTAGATTCAAGTTCAATGAAAGTCTGATCTGAGGTTAAACCTTCCAACACACCATCTATTCCATGGCTGTTTTTTTTCATGTTACTGTCTTCATTTGCTAAATTTTCCTTCTTACTTTTCTTTTTAGAATTTTCAGTTTTTTTCAACATTTTTTTCCTCCTCTTCTTTGGTTTCTTTTGTCGAACCACTTTAGGGAAAAGACAAGTCTGTGGGATTTTTTTCTCATCTTGAAGAACTAGTAGATCTCTAAAAAGTGATCAAAGCTGGTCTAAAAACAGATTATATACACATACAGGAGTAATCTGTATACACATGCATGCATTTATGTCAGTTTGCCTTATAATCTAAATATTAATGCATATTATTACAAACAGTAAGATGAAAATAAAATTCACACTACAGATCAAATTGTAAGAAATCATATCTCCAAAAACCTTTGCTACGATTAGCAGTATCATTTCCATTAAAATTTGAATGCACAAATATTGATTTCCTGTTTGACAGAATGACTTAAAAAACAAAATTTTTGTTTTTGAATTTCAAAAAGTAATCTCTGATTTAAGGCGTTAAGACTTTCACAAATATTCTTATCGTTATGTGACATGAGTTTTATTGTTGAATTCTGACCAAACTTTTTTTTTTATGTATTAACTAGAAAAACAGTCCTGTGATTTGGTCAATTTGATCAAACTTGCAACCAGCAGGTAACCATGAAAGTATACATACTATAACCTTTAATGTAGTATGTGTATCTTCATGAAATCTGGTTAACTTTGGTAAATATTACAAGTCTTTTGGACATAAAAAAATCAGATTTTATAAGTTAGTATTTTTACTAAAGCTTTATCTGTGAACATACGGAGTCAGATTGCAACTATGGCTCCTACTAGTTCAAGTGCAAGGTGATTTTCAGGTTAAGACTTAAAACTTTTTTTTTAATCTTACAGTTTTCACATTTTATTTGAATATGTTCTAAAACCTCATAAATGAGTGTCAAAAGCTTTTTTTTTTCAGTATCATTTTATATTTTATCTGTTACTCTCTCCACCCTAACACCATACAGACTCAGTTGATTTGACTGACCTTGTAGCCATCACAAAAAATGCAAATTAAATCTAAATTACCCATTTTTTCTTTCTAGAATGACTGCTGGTTGTAACAGATAGTTACAATTATTTAACTTATTCATTTTAGGGCATGTAACATTTTAATTTGTTTTATTTAATTCTATCTCAACGGGTCTTCCTATGGTCAGGGGTCAAAGGTCATGTCATCACATTTGTAGACTTACATTCTCAATTTTATTCCACTACTATTTTATGAATATATATTAGTAAGTTTCATATCATATTGTAGATTATACTTCAAATTTTAGTATTATACATTAGTTCATTTCTTAATTTAAAGGTAAATCATAAAAAAAATCTTAGATATCAATTTTTACGCATCTCATCATATATTGAATGCAGCTTTGGTTCAAATTAGATTTATGTGATGTCCAAATACAAAGTCTATAATTTCTTACAAATCAGAAACTCAAATTACCAATATTGAAAAGCTAGAATATGAAATAAGAACCTCCTATCTTTTCTATTTTCTGATATTATATTTAGTGAATCAACAAAGATGGCACTGCCCACCTCTTCCATTCTCGGAAATACTTGCTTATGTACACCTACTTTGCTCTTTGATGTGTGTATAACCACTCAAAAGCTCAAACATCCCCCACGTGGTTTTTCTCTGCCTCTTGAAAAGTGTTTATGTAGAAAAACCTTTATTTTTATGGTAGAATTGAAGCAGAAAGGTAGGAGATTTAATGGAGCTCAAAATAAGTTTTTAGACCCAAATACAGCTTAGTTATTTCAAAATGCATATATAAAACCTAAAAATTCCACCCAGCCCGTATCCCCCAAAGTAGCCATAAAGCAGTTGTTCTGTAACTTTTTAAAATGTATACATATCTTCACAAAATTTTGCAGATTATCAGTGAAAATTACAAGGCTTTGTACACATAATATCAGACTTTTAAATTAATGATATGTTAGTGTATTTTTTTTCTCTTCGAATGTTGACTATCGAACATGCAAAGTTATTCTGATTTTCCTTGCTGCTTGATCTGAACTTGGGTATAACTTCTAATCTCTAGGCAAAATAACTAAACATTGCTACTGAGAACAAGGTAGCATTATATGTCATTTTGTAAATTAAAATTTTGTCTTTCCATTGGTTATAAGTTGTTTAATAGCAAACTTCAGATAGAGAGAGAGAGAGAGAGAATGAGACAGAAGGGTGTGGAAAGTGGGTCTGACCTGGTTTATACCTCCATTAAAAAAGAAGATTTAAGGCTATAAAAATTAGACTATGCCTTAGTAATATCTATGCTATAATGTATAATTTATGTTAAATGCAGGAAGTAATAGAGGGGTGATGAAAAAATAAAAATGGGCAAGTTGGAGCTAACAGATGTCATGTTACACAGACAAAGAGAGACAGAGAAATTATTTCAATATTTTCTTTTAAAATTAATGAATTAAACCTTATTTAATATTACAATTTGATTTATTAATTATGCTTTTATTATTTTATTCACATACATTGATAATAAAGTAGTTTTGAATGTAACTATTAAAAAGCCATGAAATGCACACTTTTACCTATCCATATCAAGAGAGTTAACAGAGAAACTACCTACTCTGGTGTTTAACTTGTTTTTTTTATCAAGTGTTAATTTTCTAATAATAACAGGATTATATTTTCAAATTCTTGTGTACATAAAGAGCATTTTCTAGATGATTGGAAAAAACTGATGAAGTCTTATTTTACATTTAGAAAAAAAAATTCTCTAAAATATGAATTCATTGTATTATAGCTATAATTTTCCAGTTCTTCTAAATGATATAATCAAAATAGTCAGTGAGAATATTGTTGTATATAAATCAAAATAAACTAAAGTGCCATTTAAATATTAATGAGAACTGCTTAGAAGGATGAATTATGTCAATAGAACAATGTAGTTATATATATTAAAAATATTTATAACTGACTACATTTACTCGGACATAAGATGATGAAGCAAGTTATATGTCAAAGTAAGAAAGACTTGACTTCAACCTTCCTTGACAGATATTTTAAGTAATTTTCTAAGAGTAGCTGAATAAAACCTAGTAGCTTGTAACTTTAACAATTACCTGTGGTTAGGGTATACTGGAATTTTTGGTGTATCCTCATTCAATTCTTCTTTATTGAAAGCAAACTCACATTTCTGGATATATCTTGCCCAAAGGTTAAAAACAACATCCTGTAAAAAAGTTAACATATAAAACATACTACCCTACAGGCTATCAAAATCATTGCAGACCTAACAATGCATATAAAAGGTGTAATGATAATAAAACACGTATTTAAGTATTTAGAAATCTTGTTAAGTGTTGTGAATTTTGTACTCATTTAGTTTCACCAGTAAGTAGTTTACAAGTGCAGAATTAAGAAATGATTTGACAACAATACAGAGCTATTCTGCTATAGCTCTAGAACAAGTTATCAAGTAACTACACAATTCATCGTTAATATTAAAGGCATGTACCAAGAATAAAAGGTTTATAAAGTATTTACTTCAAATTTATTTCTTTTTTACACAATGCTCTTTCAGCTTAAATTTGTACTATTTTTTTTATTCAGCTATTTTATATTCTTCATAGAAGGCAAACAAGAATCAAAAATATAATGTCATCAAAGTAAGATAACTCATTCTTTTTAGGGTCACTGTTTGTGTCTACTAATGGTATGAAATGCAATAAAAAGTGTTAACAGTAAATACAAACTTACTAGTGAATAAGTAAACAGAAGAAAATGATGAATTTCTTTTAAATTTTAATTGAGCTATTTATGTGAACTTAGCACATCTGAACAATAACATGATGTCTATCACTTCTATAAACAGTTTAAATTTCTACCTCTCACTATTAGACATTAAAACATTTCTAACATAAGACACAATTTTGTTTATACATTTTTCTTTAAGTGACCAACAAACTATAATACTTATGATCAAGCAGTAAATTCATTCTTTGTGATCAACATGGGTACAAACTGCTACTAAAATTCACTGAAATTTATTTTCTTAAATTGAAGTGTCCCTAAAACAACTTAAGATATTTTCAGTAGTCCAAAATGTTTTATAGCAGGATTTATTTACAAGGAGATAATTCTGTTTCAACAAGTTGTAAAAACTGACAGAACAAACCTGACTCTATATCATCTTAAGAATACTTCAACTTTACAACAATTAACTAAAACACAAGATACATGGATCTTAGTTCTTTATGTATGTACACAAATAATGGAGGCTTCAATTTTAATTTTTATAGAAACACTTGTTATAAAAATAAAAAGGAAAGGAATAGAACTTCTACTCTGTCTGGCTTTACAAATCTACATTAATAAAATCTAGAGGGTTCTCACAGAAATAACACTCAGTATAATTTCAATTCCCTGACTTTACAAAATATATATATATATATTCAAAATTTAAAGGATTTTAATGTATTGTACAAGCACCCCCACTACAGCATAAGAGCATCAAACACACTGTTAAGTGTATTGAGTTTTTGTTGCCTCATAAGTCAAAATGACAAATATAGAAATCTAACAATAAAAGAATTGCATGGGTGAAGCAATTACAAAATGCAAAACAGAAAATATAGTAATGGAGAAAAACTTGCCAAATTAAAATAATTTTTTGGTAAACATGAAAACAATGATGAGGGTTGTTGCCCAAAATATTGTTTTCATGTTTACCAATAACATTATTTTAATTTAGTGAGTTTTTCACCATTACAAATACAGAAATCTGACATGTTTATTCAACTATGTAAGTTAGCTATCCAAACATCTCTCATAAACTAACTATATGTTATTCTAATGATGAATCCTAAAGAGTAAAATGTGCAGAACAAGTCACACACACTATCAAGTACAGGTATGTTATATATATATATATATATATATATATATATATATTACAACATATCGTGTACATTAATTTATATATACTATCACTGAAGTAACTAAAAAAGTAAAAAACAAAA